AGAGCACGCTGCGGGTGCCGGGCGACGCACTTAATAATTAGAACCCCACAATGTGGGGAATAATTGTAATAGCATTAGTACTAGTCATGGTAATGCCTAGTACTGTTCATGGGAAAAGTCTTGGTATCACTGATGGCAAGACGGATGAACACACTGATGCTAATAATCATCCAAAACAGAAGTAAGTATATACAAATCTCCCCAGCCTTTTCCGGCATCTTCATGAAGCCTATTTAATAAGTCGTGGCCGTGACCCTCTGCAGGGGACCCTAAACCCCAACATACCCTAAACCCTAATGAGGAAGTGGGCCATCTTTCCAAGTTTCTCAAGGGTCGCCTGCGACTGAAGTACTTTCAACACTTGTGCCTTAAGTCCTTAAGGTGGTTGTGTGTGCTGTAAAGCTCAGTGTACATAGGTTGCAGATGTTTTGCTCTCATCAGCAAGCAGAAACATACAGCTTTCTTCTTCCAGATCCTTGGTCTTTTCAGTTGGCCCGGCACAAGCATCTACGAACGTGTGGTGCTCGCACGGAGGAGCAAATGTCGCTTATGGAGACGTCAAGTCTGGCTAGCAGCGTTGGCGTGGCGCGTCCCAAAGACACCAGTGCTTTGATTCTAGAAGCTAGGAAGCTGTTCGCTGCGGGGATGAGTTGGCCCAGGTCTAACGAACGCAACAGCACCAGGTCCACACAAGCAAGACGGGAGGTCATCGTTTTAGAGACGTCAGATGCAGATGTTGCAACGTCAGCGATCTTATTGTCCCGTTGTCAACTTGTTACAGTTCTAGGATTTGCAAGCGCCCCGTGTGGCGCTGTCTTGTTCCCACGTCTCTAACTACAACTGAACGTCTGGCCACGCTCTTCTTGCACTCCCACACTCCCGTCTGTGACGGCAACAATCAGCACAAACAACATATCACAGATTTAACCCACGCGTTGCGGACGCTTCCTCGTGAAATGCTGCATCATGCATCGCGCCTGAAGCGTGACTTGCTACAGCGGTGTTCATCTCATCTACATGGGTGGTTGTCAAAATTATGGTCCTTTTTTGGATCCCTATTATAATACGGCGGCACCTAATTTTTAGGGTACCCAAAAAGGGACCGTAATTTCGACAACCACCCACATGCGTAAGGGATCCGAACAGGATGACTGACAACCTGACGAGGCACACTGAGCCCGCCGGCACCTGCATGAGAACTGCCCCTTGTCCAGTGACCAACTGGTATTGTGCCACGGATGCCATAGGCAAGGTATACATTGGCGCTTGAACGCAGCCAACCCTTAGCAACGCTCAGGGTCAAGCGGAGGCCCCTTGCAGTCGTAAGCCCTCATGTTGTTAGGTCCGTATTGAGTCAAGCAACTGTCCAACGGGGACTGCAACAACACCGCCAGGGGACGGGGGCAGTGCCATTACACCAGGGCTAGGGCCACCCATGGCAACGGCACCTGGCTGTGTAGAACCAACCGGCTGGGCGCTGACACCCGCCGCTCCAACTCCATGAGGTGCAGGAGCACCGTTTGGTGAAGGAGATGGAGGTCCTCTCAGGGATCAGACTGCAGCAGCACCAGAAACAAAACGACCCGTCAATGAGCTGCTGGCTCTAGTTGTCCTGTTCTGGTCGCATCTGCAGGCTTGCCAGACGTAGGGGACTCCGTCTCACAAAAGCAGCAAGGCAGACTCAAGCATGCTGGGTATTCCATGACTTCAATCTGCACAAAATACCTGAAGATGCTAGCCTGTGCCCCTTCTCGGCCAGCAGCCTCCGCTTGCTGTTGCCGCAGCCGAGCCACTTTCCTGAGCCCAGGCGTTCATTCGTCTCCAAAATCGCCAGCGGCTGCTCATGCATCACAGACAGGTCATCTGCAGTCAGAGCACTGCTTTTTACGAAGCTTGGGCTCCCCCTCCGGGCACAGGTGGCAGCGTTTACATGCTGCGCCGTTGATGCAGCCACTGGGCTTCTTATGAAACCAAGCCTTGGGTCAGTGGATCATGAAAACTACAGCTATGACAAGGCAAAAGCCAACTAGTTATCCAAGATGCACAGGGCTGGCATGCCGGTAGGCCCTCCTGCAGAGACGAAGCAATTGCTGGCACAAAATGCTTCAGGAAAAGCCGGCCAGCAAATTTTCTGGTCTAGATGTCCAGAAGGCCTCGTCAAAGAGCCCATGCAACTTTGACCCTTCTGATGGAGGCGAAGTCAGCGCATCGGGAGCTTGCAATGCTAGGCCCAGCAGCTGCCTTCCGAAATGCGACGGGCTCATCCTCGGCGCCAAGAGTTGCCGTGGGATTGTCGGCCAGCAGTTTGAAGCTAGACATACTGGTGGTTAGTAGAGAATAAAGGAATATGATCTAATCCTATATAGTCATAATGTATTCCCTCATTCCCCGCTAACTCCCAGTAAGTAGAACACGCCAAGCGTAGCTGAGAGTCTGTGGCGGAGGCGGCATCCCCTCGTCATCATCGAAGGTTGGCGCGGATTCTGACGGTGGTGGCATATTCGGGCTCACAGGACTTGGCGTGCTACCTGCCAATGCATCCCCCGGGCCGGAAGCATGGCAAGACCGCTTTGGGATAATGTAGCGGATAAATGGAGAATAACATGGAAACTACTGTAGTACATTGGGGTAATATAGGGGATAATGGAGAGGAAAACGGAAACTACTGTAGTACATTGGGGTGATATAGGGGATAATGGAGAAGAAAATGGACACTACTATCTTTAATGCCTCGATTTTGCAATAGCGGCATTGGCTCGCAGCAATTCTAGTACGCCCACTGGTTGCGCCTGTGCCATCACCATCCAAATCCGGAACCTGGAGTCTTGGATCGATCGGCTTGTCGGCGGGAATCTTTATTGGCTCGCGGTGGCGCATCTCCTTCTCACAGAAACGATTAGGGTTTAGGAGGGGTTATATGGGATAATGGAAAATACAATGGAAACTACAATAGTACATTGGGATAATGTAAGGGATAATGGAAAAATGGAAACTACTATTTGAGGTTTAGGGTTTAGGGATTAGCGTGCACCCAACCCAGGAATTCAACGCTGCGTCAAACACTGCAAAATCTCAGAAGTGTCCGACTGTCTGCGCTGGGCCAACATCCACCAACTATTTCCAGGACTCTGGCACTTCCGATCTCCGCATCTGAGCCATCTGAGATATTTCCAAAAGCATGCGAGCATATTGCAAGACAACTTATGTATTACATCACATTTTTGTACTATGGTATATTATACGAGTTACTAGATTATAGCATATGATAATATAATGAAGGTAAACCATGATATGGTAGTTTCCCTAAATAAGGGGACCCAATATAGACCCCAAAATACTATAATCCTTATTATAGGGACCCCCAAAAAGGTACCCCTAAATTGGGGAAACCCCCATATGTCATAGTATCTGCAAGTGGCTTTCAAAACCGCCGGCGAGCCATCAGCTCTCTTTGAATCGAGCGAGGTCTTGAGCCCTAGTTCCCCCGTCAAAGCAGCTCAGAAGCGTCCACTTCACTATAATATTGGGGTTATATAGGGATAATGGAAAAGAAAATGGAAACTATAGGGGTTAATTATATGGATTATATAGGGTTTTTATAGGGATTGTAGGGAATATATTGGGGTTATATAGGGATAATGGAAAAGAAAATGGAAACTGCTATAATGGGTTATATAGGGGTTAGTTATATTATGGGTAGTTGTCACCGTAACTAATCCCTAAACCCTAAATGGAGGTTTCCCAAAATTAGGGGTACCTTTTTGGGGGTCCCTATAATAAGGACTACAGTATATTGGGGTCTTTATTGGGGGTACCCATAATTTTGGGAAACTGCCAAATAGTAGTTTCCATTTTCTTTTCCATTCTCCCCTATATCATCCCAGTGTACTATTGTAGTTTCCAGTTTCCATTTTACTTTCCATTATCCCAATACCTTGTTCAGCCCACTGTTGTTTTCGAGCGCAGATTCCAGTTTCAAGAACCTTTCAGCCACGGGTTCCCCTGTATGTACTACCCAAATCACACCTGATGGTGTCCTGCGCATCCGGCTGCTCATCAAAGAAGCCTCCAGATGGTGACATTCTCGCCGTGCATGTCTTGGCCCCACGGTCGTGAAGCGAGCGGATCGAATCTGGCGATTCCTCCTCTACATCGATAAACGTGTTCTTTACCTGCTTGGCGAGGAGCATGGACTTCCAGAAAATGTCTCATATGGCAGAATGTCATATAGGGGTATATCGGCCTTTAGAGGGGTTATATATGGATAATGAAAAAGAAAATGGGAGCTACTAGGGTGAGTTATGTAGGGGTCACATAGGGATTAGCGAGTGCAAGCAGGAGCCAACCACCCAGCTCACGGTTATGTCAGCACACAGTTCGTAAACAACATCTTGCAATTATGTAGCAATTATGTAGGGAATAATGGGAAACATCATGGAAACCACATAGCATGATGGAGCTGAAAATTGGGGGTTATATTCGTAAGCACACTATCGTAACCCTAAACCCTAAACCCCTAAACATCTAAACCCTAAACCCCTCAACCCTAAACCCTAACCCCTAAACCCCTACACCCTACACCCCACTATCTTTAGCCAGGGCACCGTGAGCGGCAGCTCCGAGTCTGCAGGAATGCCACTTGGCGAGACTGCTGGTGACCTGGAGAAGGACCTTGGCATGGACACTCTCAAATTTTAGTTACCATAATAGGGATATATAGTAGATAATAATATGGGTATATAGTAGATAATACCAGAATATGAGTTTAGAGAAGATAATACCAGAATAAGGGTTTCTAGTAAATAATACCAGAATATGGGTTTATAGTAGATAATACCATGACATGGGTGTATGGTAGATAATGCAACTCCACACACATTCCTGAACTGATCTCATCTGAGCTATAGTCTAAACTCCTAGCATCCCCCTTAACAACCCCTATAGTAGTCCCCTATATAATCCCCTATATAACCCCAACCCTAAACCCTAAACCCTAAACCCTCATCTGTCTCTGGGAAGGAGGCTCGAAGGCCGCTGCCAAGACCTGCTGGCCAATGTGCCCTTGGGTTCCATCTGCGAGGTAGCGCTGATGCCTGGGTTGCTCTTAAGGAACTTACATTAAGTTACTANNATTATTTATTATATATATATACCCAATATGGTAACTTAGTTTAACCCTAAACCCTAAACCCTATATACCCATTATGGTAACTTAATTTAAGTTCCTTAACAGCAACCCAGATGCGCTGGTATGATGGGAAGCTGTGCCGCAGGCATGGCATTTAGCTCTTGAGCCAATGCGGCTGCGATTCTTCCAGCTTAAGGCATATATTGGGGCTACATTGGGATAATGGAAAAGAAAATGGAAACTACTACAATATATAGGGATTATATAGGGTATATGTACAGTAAACTTATTTGGGGCTTCAGCTCTCTAAAATCTGTCGTGACGCAGTACTTTGGCCCATCATTCACAGGAGGTCACAACAAGCGTCCTCTTCAAAGGAGCGTCGTCCTCGGCAAGTTGTCCCAGGAACCTTGGGACTGTTAATGGCTTCGATGCAGGATCACACAGCTTGGCTCGTCTCCTAGCACATGGCATCCCTCCTTGGCAAATTCTGCCCGGTGCAAGTCGTTGTAAGGGGCAGGCGCAGGAGGGATTGTCATGCGATCAACGCCAGCCAACGCCTTCTTGCAAAGCAAGAGCAAGCAGACTTCTAAGCGCGAGCGGCTTCACGAGAATTATTGCGGCAATTAGCCAATTTGTTCGATGTCTTTGCCTATGCAAAGCCACTGCGCTCTGTCCACGCGTGGTGGCATGTCAGGCAAGTGACGAAAGCCACTGTTGTTTCAACAGGCTCACCACCTGAACGTACGCAGCTTTCAACTGCGAAACTTTGTACATGCTTGGTCTCGGTTCCCGCGCACTTTTCACAGCGGAATTTGTCCTTGGAAACGATCCCGGATGGCCTCAGAGATGTCGCTGCCAAATCTTCCTGTCTGGACTGCGCTCGCTGCGCAGTGCGACTGGAACTGGCCATCTCTTCTGCTGAGATTGAAGGCAGCCGATGCAAATCAAGCTGGCCACTAAGCAAGCTTTCACTGAACTCTTCGTTGGAGCCATCTTTGAGATTGTAGAGAAGCGATCTGGCCTGGCTTGTGTACTTGCGGCCATCAAGCTTTTCATGCAGCATGGCTTCGATTTGGGCAGCTAGGACAACAGTTGAAGTCTCCGTTGGGGATTTTCTCCTTGCAGCTGCCGTTTCCAGAGCCGATTGAAATTTCTGCACCACGAGCTGCCTCGTTTTGGACAACTTAGCCACAGCCACGGGATCAGCAGCACCGACCTCCTCCTTGCTCGTGCCCCTTGGGCTCCTGGATCTTGATTGCGTGCTTGTTGGCATACGCTAGGCCCTTGAAGCTCAAGGACTCACATGAGCCATTGTCTAAACTCCTAGTATCCCCCTTAATAAGCCCTATGTTAGTCCCCTATATAATCCCCTATATAACCCCCTTCAAGGAGTTTAGAATATAGCTCACATGTCTCACAGATCCCAAGGCTGGTCAGGTTGCAACGTGACTCATCTGGTCAGGCTTCGCTCGAGCCATCTTAGTGCCTCAGCAGACTGAACAAGTGCATACAATCTGTTGCTGTTCCACACTTGTGCGGGAGGCCAAACGCAAAGGCAAGCACTGACAAAACAATTGCCCAACGAGATGTTGCTGCTTTTGCTGGATGCAGTAGCAATGCGTCAAACTCGAAAGTATATGGTCTACGGTCTAGTAGTATGCTAGCCATGACCACCCTTCCCACCCTGACAGCGTGAACATGACAAGGAAGTCATGCCCATGACCGTGTTTCAGCTTGTTCTTATGTTCCCATCAAGGATTCAAGTAGAAGCGGAACAGATTCGGTGGCTGGCCGGCAGAACAGATCCACCACCCTACACCCTGAACCCGAGAATCCGCAACCCTAGACCAAGGAGACTGCACAATCTGCCAGCATCTTGAGTTAGATTGCGCTCACAATCCAACGGCATATCCGGAGCCAACCCACCTGAATCTCGTCCAGGTCATGGCCCGGGCCCCTGCCAACCAATTGTTCCGATGGAAGGAGTTGTTTCAATGATAAGTGGAGTGACCCTTGAAGACCTGGAAGGTCGCCAGCTGGCTGGCATACAAATCGTATCATGGCCGTAGCGCTTGTAATAGGCGTACCTGCCATGACTTTGAGCTCGCAGCATGCAAGCAATGGAACTGCTCCAGGTTGACTCAGCAAAACACCCTTGCCACACAGCATCTGGCTACGCTTTGGGAAGTTCTTTTGACTTTGGCTCCTACGGTGCGTCCGCTGCTTGTGAGCCCGGCGGAGCGCTATCAGTGTAAAAAGTTTGTCTACGGAGAATCCGCATCAGATCACCTGAGCAAAGCAAGGTAACTAACGACTCCGTGTTCAGTTGCAGGTGCGTAAGTTGCTGACCCCTTCTGCCACCTTCCAGGCTGCAGGAACGCTGGGGAAGTGAGAGACCTTCGCTCAGCGCAAAAGCAGCATAACAAGCAACCGCATTCTGAGAAGCCGCTGGACGTGTGACCCAAAGCCCAAAGCAGAAGTGCTCTTTTGTTGGTGTTTGCCCTTGCCTTGTTTCTTCGCGGCTGAGCACTCTTGATTCTGCTTTTGCTCTGGCTGTTGTACTTGATAGGTTGACGACTGCTTTGTCGGCTGAAAGTAGCAGCAACAACAATAACAGCAGCAGACATGAGAACTATGACAAGAAGACAAACAAGACTAATATTGCTTATTGTCGTAGTGAAAACAAGTAAAAACAAGCAAACTCATGGTTGTCAAAGTAGTGCAGTAGTAGTAGTAGGCGCCCCCCCCCCCAACCAACTATGGTTGGCTGATATTTCCACTACCAGAGCTTTG